GATGAATAAGTCCTAGGTTCTGATTTTTAACTGTCAACTCACAGGGGTTTTTAGCAGGCCAAATGGAAGCAGCTAGGTGCAAAGACCTTGGGAAAATGGCATAATGTTGATCTATGATTAGACGTGAGCAAATCAACTAAATGTGAGGTGATAGTGTTCAAAAGAAATTTAAAATAAAGAAAAGACATTTAATTTAAATTCTGCCTTGCACATCTGAAATATATTTATGTTGTCATTGTATGGTCCAGCCTGGCCATCACTGAGGCATAAAGTTTCATAGGACCCCCACGAATGTATTGCGAGTCTGTGAAGGTAGGGACCTTAAATGTCTCTCACAGGCCTCTATGTTAAATGCTCACTCACTCAGAGGCCTACGGTGCTGTCAGGAGGGGGTGGAGCCTACAGTACCTGGAGTCTTGAAAGAGCTTCAAAGTTAGGTCATTAGGGGGTTGGCCTAACCAGGCATGGTGGTGCACATCTGGAATCCCAGCTATTCAGTAGGCTGAAGCAGGAGGATTGCCAAGTTCAAGGCAAGACTGGGCAACATAATGAGACTCTGTCTCAAAATAAAAAATAAAAAAAAAAAAAAAGAAAAGTGCTGAGGGAATGTAGCTTAGTGGTAGAGTGCCACTGAGTTCCATCTCCAACACTGAAAAAAGTCAAAACAACAAAACAGACACGGGTTTGGTGGGGGGGGGAATTGGGTCCCTGTGCCCTTCCTCACTCTCTTTTAGCTTCCTGGCTACCACAGGGTGTGCAGTTTCCTGTTACCTGCTTCCTGCCACGGTATGCTGCCTTGCAACAGCCCGGAGATAACAGGGATAAGCAACCGTGCACTGAAACCTGCAAAGCTGTGAGCCAAAATAAGCTGTTTCTCCTTCTAAGTTGATTGTCTCAGGTGTCTGGCCACGGCAACAGAGAGACATCTAACACAGAGCCTCTGCCATAAGCAGGCTGGCACCACAACGTGCCTTCTGCTACTCCCTTCAGCACCCACTCCCCCATGAGTTTCAAAAGGGTGGCTTTTGGGCAGACAAACTGTAAGTCCCTCCCACAAACACAGATGTCCTGCTGAGAACAGGGAAAAGGCATTTCTACCCCCAGAAATGGCCTTCCTCTGCTGAGGAGCTCAAGAGCTACCTTGACCGAGCACCCTCGGGGGGCCTTGGTCCTTCAAGTTTTCTCCAGCCACAACAGAAGGTCAGTGTTCTCTTTAAAAAAGGGAATGTTTTTCTTCACCCACCTGCTATAAACATTGCTCTTCAGCTCTTCTGGCCTCAAGTTTAAAAGCAAGAATCAGTACTCTTTATGGAAGAAGAAAAAACTATGCCCTTTCTGTGGTCTCCATAAACATGCTCGTGTTTGCTGTCCTGGAGAACAGGGGAGCTCTGCAGCTGCAGGACTGTGGAGCGCATCATCCTGCGAGCTTGGGCAGTGCGGCAGACCAGGGTGACAGCCCTACCCTTCTTCCAGATATCCCCAGCCTCTTCAGGACCACTTAACACCATTGCTCCCTTTGCATCACTTTGCTCTTATCACAGGCACCAAAAAAAAAAAAAAAAAAGGAAAAGCATCACTTCCTATTTTTCAATGGCTTGTTAATTTGTCATGCTGTGTCTTCAATTTAGGCTTAGCCCTGTGTTCCCAGAGCAAAATGGTGAGAAATTTTCTGTATGAGAATCTTAACTATAATGATCTCTGCTCTTTCCCTTCTGAGGATATATTCTGAGTTAAGAATGAAAGAAGAAAAACAGAGGTAGAGAGAGGCTTTATCTAGAGATCAATAATAAATGGGGAAAAGAAGCCACTTGGAGCCATACCGGTCTGGTGAGTATCTCTTTAAAACAACCATCCTAAAATGCTTTCAACCTAGTAATACCATAAAAGTCCTGCTGCTGTCTTGCTTTTCAGATTCTTCCCCGTACTTTCCATGAGCATTCCACTGGGAATTGTCTGGAATCCCAGATTAAAACAGCAATAACCCAATTCCCTTGTCAGGGTATTTATTTTCTTTTAGGTTTGGAAACTCAGCTGGGATACATCTTCAAGTGGCCACAGCTCAGCCACGACCAGCCATGCTCCTCTCAAACAGCACGATAAGTGGCCGCGTCCTGGAACGGGGAAAGGAGGAGGGCAGCTGAGCCTCCTTTGGAAAGCCCCAGCTGAGGGCAAACAGCAAGAGCCTGGGAACCTCCACTTCCAGAGGATTCATTCCAGATGTCAGGACCAGTGGTGTCCCAACAGGGCTCATGCAGATCACCAAGGAAAGGTATCTCAAATTGCTACAGAGCAGACATTCAGGAAAGACCATTCTGCTGAAGCACATCCATAATCTGATTACTCATAATGTCCCCAAAACATGCTACAGCTCCATACTTGATAATTATCTATATGAGGACCCATCCATCCATCCACATCCATCCATCCATCCATCCATCCATCCATCCATCCATCCACCACCCACACAATGAAGGGTGACACACAAACTAATCAGCAATGGACAGAACATACAACCACAGAATGGATTCCTGCCAGAAACCAAGGCTGTAAACACATCAGTGAATCTTGCATTCATCCATCCACCCAAAAAGTATTTATTAAACACAGTTCTATTTATTAAACAGTAACATGGAAAAGAGCCTAGGCTTTGGCATCAGACAGAACTGAGTTTAAACCATGCCTCTATCTCTGACTAGTTCTTTGACCAATCTTGAAGAATTACTTAAATTCTCTAAGCCCTATATATGACATGGAGATAAGGAATCCACCTTATAGATATTGTTATAAGAATAAAAAAATTACAACTACATGACTTTGTACAGTGCCCAGTCCATTCCTAGAGTAGTTATTGACTCTTACAACTGGGTGCGAAGCACACAGAAGGACCTAGTCAGATGCCAGGATGCAGTATAAAGCTGGCACCATGAGGAAACTATCTACACAAGAAGAAATTAAAGTGCTGATGTGAAAGAAAGAGTTCCAAATAAGAAGGATGTCTCAGATGAGAACTGTAATATTCTAAAGTTAGGAAGGCTGCTAAACGTTCTTATATCCGAATGCAGTATTGCATACTAGAAAAACTGAGTTAAAAGACTGGTTCACAATTGGATAGCAGAAAGAGCTATGAAGTCAGATTTCCCAGCTACCAGTTTGGTATGTTTGTTTGTTTGTTTGTTTTTATAATAAGTTCTTAGGAAGAGGCAGTTCTGCAAAGAGCTTATGTATGTCAGAGACATCCAGAGACAAACCAGGAGATCAACTTTCCTTGGAAGATGTTGTAAAATATAGGAATAAAAAGTTGGGAAAGAAACCTCTGCCCATTTTGGGACAAGTGCATTTTTTTCTCTGTACCCAAATTTATATTTCAGAAAAGCAGAGAGTTTTGTCTGCTTTCTTCATCTCTGCACCCCAAGTACTCAGAGGAGTGGCCAGCAGCGTGCAGACGATCAGTAACTGTGAGGAGAAAGAGCAAATGAATGGAGTAGGCAGTGGAAGTGCTGTGCTGTGTGCCATGGATATGTTCCACTCCCAAGTGAATATTCCTCAAGTAAATGTACTGGTCACAGGATGCTGTCTGGAGGGAAACTTACTGCCTGCCTGCTTTTTTCCCCCCAGTTCTATATGTTCCAGTGGTACCATCACATTCCAGTTTACTAAAGATAAGAGTACCCTCAGCCAACACCATGTCCTTTACGGTCCAACCTTTACTTAAATGTTCACTGCAGAAGAGAAGATGGTAGAGCGGGGCTGTGTCCTTTACCTTCCGGCCCATGTGAAGGAGGAGTATCTCAACTGTAGTAGGCAGGAACTTTGTAAATACTAATGGACACAGGAGACTGGAGGATTTGTCCCCCAGTCCCTGCAAAAGTCCCAGCAACTATCCTTTTCATAGGGGAAAAGGGACAAGCCAGTAATCTTCTTCCCCCAGTACCCTCAGCTTCACAGTCATCTACTTCTCTGATTTGTCTCAGAGAGAAAAAAGTGGAGCCTGCACCCCATGTCCTGTTGTTCTCCTTTTTGGGACAAGATGAAAATAACCTGTGGACCACTGCTATGCCAAAAAGAGATGGCAAGCATGACTTCAGTGCCACCACTTAAATCACTGGCAATCAACGAGATGGGCCAAGATGACCTCAGGGTCCTCCACAACCTGGGTAACATTCATGCCATAGAATCAAGCGTTTCTTGGACACTGTGACCAGGATGGGAATCAGGTGCACAAATCACATTCCATTACCTGGGCTGAGTGGCAGCACAGGGCGGGCAGACAGACAGAAAAGGATACCGTAGGTGTCAATGCGCTGGACAGCAGCACAGCTGCCCATGTGTATGGGGCCCACTGCTGCCAAGCTGCAGGTGAGGATTCAGATGGAAGGTGTGCAGGCAAGGGGTAGGACGACTGGGGAGAGAATGGTGGAGTACTACAAACTGATGCTGCTGAGGCCAGGTAAACTCAAGCGAGAGAGGGGAAGAGAAGAGGGGACAAGAGAAAGGATACATGTTGGTATATAAAATGAAGGAAAGAAATGTAACCAGCATGGGAAAAGGGAAGGGAGGGAGGTCTATAAAGAATGGAAGAGCACACAGCTCAATAATAAAACAGTGTGAGTCTGAATAAGAAACTGAGCCACATTTTGGACCAAAGACAATACTAAAGGGCAGCAAATGCAAATTAAGGAATGCAAATCATCTGGCCTCCCAGGGGTCCGAGCTGACTCTGCTCCATATTGCACATTTCCAGACTGTTGTTTTGATATTTCACCATCGGAGATGACACATCAAGAAAAAAGGGACAGGAATCTCAAACTTTTCAAATCCATTTTGGGGGGGGGCAAAAGATTCTACAACAACCTGACAGAGTCATGTGAAAGCCACTCAATCCCTCTCTGGCTCGGAGCCCTCTGCCTGCTTCCCCTTCCCGTCGCCTCCAAGCAGGCTGTCCCTCAGTCCTTCCCCTTCCCGACGAGGGCCCGACCGTGGCCTCCCAGGCAAACACTCACGCAGGTGCGCTGGCAGGCGGATCGAGTCTTCCTCCATCCTGAGCGCTCGAGGCACTGGAACATGAAGTGGAGTCGAGGAGGCGTAACTGGGCACCGGGCTCTCGGGAGGTGTATATGAAACTCGTTCCTGCTGTTAAAAATAAGAGCAGGAAGAGGAGAGGGGGAAAAAGACAATGAAAGGTTGGAATGGAGGTGGGAAACTATCCTGGGGCGGGGGAGCAACAGGAAGATGGGGCATTTGAACACTGCTATGGAGCAACCTCGGGGGATTGGACACAGTAGTCTTTCAGGTGCCTCGCATTTGGGATTTATCTTTAAAACGCAGGAAAGGTTTAAATTTGGGCTTTCCTTTCAGCCTCAGGTCAACAGGTGTGTACCCCTGTGGTTTGTTTGGGAAATGAGAAAAGGCAGGGGTGAGGAAATGAAAAAGAGGCCCAAGAGAATAGCTTTAAAGCAATTCTCTCAAAAATTATTTTTTCCAAGTCATACAGTGAATGGCATCAATACATTAAAACTATGTTTCCTTTTTTTCTGGCAATATCCCCAGCTTCTAATCAAAGTATGAGTCTACACTCAGATCCAGTAAGAGGGAGCTGAACAGGCCAACTTGAAAGTGATGGCTTCAAAGATAAGATCTCAATGTAGTTATTAAATGTATGAGCAAGATTTTTCTATTCTATCTCCCTATATAATAACCACAGTCAAAAATATCCAACATTTAAATTTTTCCTTCCTACAGGATTATCTGAATATTAACAAGTATGTCCTTGCTCCTTCATTCCCTGTATCAGAATCAATATTTTCTGTCGTCTCCAAAGATTTCAGAGATCATTAATTTCAACACTTTTCTTTTTTTTTTTTTTTTTGGTACTGGGAATCGAACTCACAACCTCACGCTTGCCAGGCAGGCACTGTGCCACTAAGCTGTATCCCCAGCATTGGAGATCATTAAAAGAATTATTTCAATTTAAGGAAAAAATTGTTTAACTGATGACATTTATTGGCTGACAGAGGGAGCGGGGCTTCAGGAGACCCATCTCTTGCAAACAAGCAGCAATATTTGATAGATGAACTGAAGCAAATCAGATGGGTTAGGAGGGATTATTGTTAGTTTTAAATTAAAATACTTCAAATAATAGCAAGAAACAATTGTGCACAGCTAGGACAACAGGGCAATTTGTATCTCAGATGTGCTTGACCCACAGTCCATACATAAACATAACTTCCGTTAGTTTCTGTGGTTTCCCTGGGTGAAGTAAAGTGGGACACATCAGGTCCAAAAATAAGCTGAGCAGAAAAGACCAGTAAGCTGCCACTATGAAAATGAAAATCAGGAGCAAAAGAAAATGCTGGATTATAGCAAAGGTGGGTGTTTACTTTTTGGAAAGATAATTAATTCTTTAACATTTTAGTTCTCATCAAATGTGCAAAGGGAAGCAGGGGAGTCCCCCAGCCATCTAACCAAATTAAAACTTCTACTCATAGCCTGGAAACTTTGGTGGGTGTGGTAGGAAGTTTCAATTTTAAGTGAATATATACATATTATTGTAATTTCCGGATGGAGTCGCTTATACCTTCCCTAAGGCATCCACTCGCTGCAGCTAGGGTGGTTGGCCTATTTCTGTTTAAACACACAATTTAAAACCTTCCCAGTCAACTTCTTAATTAAGGGCAGGCCCACAAATCCTAAATTTGACTTCCTTCTATCAATCAATATATCCTGCAACAGATCACCCAGAGGCAAAACTTTCAACTTCACTTTCCTTGAGCTTTACCAAACATCACACATATTTTAAGCAGTTCAAATTTAGGGAGGGGTTAGACTTTTTGGTGTTTGTTCTGAGGCTGTCTGAGGTGAAAGTGGCAAAGGTACATAATCATATATATGGGGAAACATATTGAATCTATTTAGGGTTTTTTTTCCAGGTGAGATGGGCTTTTGAACATGGCAGACATAGCCTGTTTTTCTAATTTAATACATTTTTGTACTTTTCAATGCTCACATGACCCCACAATCTCATCATATGTCTAGTTATCTACAGTTAACTTTATTCCCAGAAATAGCTTTCTGTTTTGTTACGGGTTTTGCAGAAATGAAACTATTGATGAAGAAAACACTGTACAGCCAGAGTCTTCAAATGACAGGGCAAGAGTGCAAGAGAAACAGTATTTTGTAACACTGTGGCTTTTTCCTGAATACAAGGAGAAACTCACAAGGTCCTCTAGTTTGTCCACCCGAGAAAGGGGCCACCTCATTCCAGCCCCTCCAGTTCCATCAAGAACAAACTGAAAGAATCTGGTCCTCAAAGCTGTCCAGCCAATGGACAAGAGCCCAGCAAGGCAACACTTTTACAGGTTGTGTGACTTGCCACTCTACCATTGCAGTGTGTCTTCACGTCACAGGAGGTCTTTGGAAGCAGTCCCACTATTTTTTCCCTTCTCCACAGTTCCCCGTCCTCATGATTACACTGAAACAGCATATCTGAGCACCTGTCCTATGATTCATGCATCTCCATTACCCCCAGACCCCACCTAAGAAATTCTACGTGGAGACAACTGTCCTATTTCATGACAAAAGGCCAGAGACTGAGTGAGCTCCTCTCATTCCTCATGATGGCTTCTGCTCAGGGGAAGGTCAAGCCTGCAAAGCTACAAGCCCAGGACTGGAAACTCTGTTGACAAAGGGTTCAGTGAAGAGATCTGTCTGTATCAGAAGACAGTTACCTTGCCCAAGGGGTGGTGGGGGAGCAAAATGCACTTCTAGGACCTCAAGCAATCTGACAGCAGCCAACACATTTCCCTGGAACCCTGGTTCAGCAGCCAGCAAGTCATTCAGGGGACTCTGGAAAGGACACTGTCCAGTATATGGGTCATTCTTTTGGAGAAGGAGACACACAGCTGGGAACCCCACACCACAGACTTAACTACTTCCTTCTCTCTGTTTGTGACTCTAGGGCAGTGGTGGCGAACCTACGGCACATGTGTTTTTCTTTTAAGACTGAAGACGTTAATGTATGAGTTATTTTTATTTTTAAACTAAAACCTCAGTATTCAGGTTTGACTGTAGCATTGGTACTTTGCAATAAAGACGTGGGTTTTGGGTTGCAATCTGGGCACTACTCTCTAAAAGGTTCACCATCATTGTTCTAGGGTGACCTCCATGGTCCTTATATTTTTATTTTATTAGTATATAACCATGCACTTCACATCTACAGTGGCAAGTCAGCACATCATCAGCAATTAGAAAAATCAAACAAATACCATTATCTCAGAGGGAAATATCTAGACAGCAGGAATTAAGAGACTAACACCCAATGCTCCAGATAAAGGGGACATATTTATTCTCATAACGGCTTGTCTAGTCTGACCCCAACAAAGAGGCAGCCTAGCTAGAGAACCAACTGACAGCTCACTCACCTCTAAAGCAAACTGTCAGACAGATGAAAACCAGAGGGGCTTTATGTTAACATAGGGAGGGGAGGTGGGTTAGGGTTTTCCCAAGAGGATTATAAACACTACTCTAATTAAATAAAAATGCTACAGACCCTGATATTAATGCATTCAAGTGTTGTAGAGGGATAAACTGCCGGTGGAGGTCAACAATGTGATTAAAAACCCCATGATGTGGTTACATTATTGTTTTGATGGTGAAAAAAGTAAAGCACCCTGCTCTCATTGGATGGGAGATGCAACCTATCAGACCAGTGAGCTGAAGACAAGCGAAGTGCTGCAATTTCTGAGGCTCACTATACTACCTGCAGAGAGAGTGGCAAATGGGTGTGTGTGTGCGCGTGTGTGTGTGCGCACGTGCACCCAGTGAAAGCTCTGAAAAGAGATGATAAGGCTTAAAATGGCTATAGGTAAGGGTTAAAATGTAGATTTCACTGACCATAAGAAGTTTTTGAGGATGGGGGGATGGAGTCTGGTCCTACGAGAATAACTAGCAAATCCAAATCGATTTGCATTCCTTCTCCTCATTCCTGCCCCAAACCATGAAGGGCCAATGAAAGGTACTCGTCTAATTCTGCTTATTTTTAAATTGAATGCTTAGGAGCCTGTGTATCTGTGCCTTCCCTGTGAAACACACTTACCCAGGCTACACAGTAAAGACAAAAAAGAATACTTTTGCTATCAAAACAGTTGCTTTCAAAATTATTCAATAAAGAGCTTCTATACATCACAGGCATCCTCCTAGTACATTTAAACACTTGTTTGTTTTTTCTTTCCAGTACTGGGAGTTGAACCCATGGCTTTCACACTGAGCTACATCCCCTGCTCTTTTTGTATTTGTTATTTTATAACACAGTTGCACCAAGCCACTCAGTTGCCCAAGCTGGGCTCAAATTTGCAATCCTCCTGCCTCAGCCTCCCACAGGGCTAGAATTACAGGCAAATGCCATCTGGTTAAGCACTTGTTCTCATAATATTAAGTCTTTCAAGAGATTGGAGGGTTGGGAAACTTAGGGCCTATTGTTAATTCAATAGTAACTTTCTGGAAATAAAAGACAAAGCATGGGAAATTGGGAAAAACACATAAACTTTGAGAACTTGCACAAGGATGGTTTTACGGGTAATCTTAAAATTTCCTGTACAGTACCGACGAGCTGCTCTTGATTTAGTAACTTTTTCCAGAAATTGCCTCCTGCCCATTATCAAGACCAGGATTATCCCTATGGATGATACCTGAAGCTTGTGTCGAGACTGGAAAGTCGAGGAGGAACAGTACCCGAGGAACACAAGGGTGATCGCCTCCTTCCTGGAGCCAGGGGGAAACTGCATAAGCATCTTTTATCCACTTGGGCTTCTGTGCCTATAACTGCAATGAACATCTGAACCCAGACAAGACGGGCAAGGGCAGGCAGAAAGACACAGTGGCCACACTGGCTATGTTCAGTGTTAGAGGAAAGGATCTCTTTTCTACTCTGCCGTTTTAGAAAAGTTGATACCGTACTCTAGTCATTCTCTGTGGACAGACATCTACAGAGATGAAATCTCTCCTGTGGAAGCTACTTACTGAGATGCACTGAACTAATGTCAGAAACATAACTCTTCTGTGTATTTTTCTGGCTGCAAAATGATTCAAGGGGGCCAGAGAAGTAGCTCAGCAGGTGCAGTGCCTGCCTGGCAAGC